GAAGGAAAGAGATTTTATGTCATATAAGATAATTTGGCATTGAAAAATGACATTACATTATTGTAAATACATTATACAGCAGAATCTAAATTATCTAAGTAAATATTCATTAAAAAAAAACTAGATTTATTAGTCACCAAATTAAAAACATCATTTTCTGATAAGATATTACTGCAATAATTTATTTCCAGTTCAGAGGTCTTTAAGAAAATTATTCTATCTATATAAAATTTAGTGTTTAACTTTTCATATTACATAAATAGTTGTTAAGAAGAAAAACATTAAAAAGGATTCTCAATATAAAAAATCTATGCACAACATCCATAATCACTTTTTTCCAAATCCAATGCAATAAGTCATTCTAAAACCTGCTTTATCACATTACATTCCCAAAGTAATTACAAGTACCTGGTACTATTTATAAGAGTACATTTAAAGAGTACAGTATCTGACAAGTTAATATTGTAAAATATGTCCCTTTAAGTGACTAAAGCTCAATGGGGTAAAAAAGAAAGTTCATAAATTTATCATAAGACCACTTCCTAACAACTATCAGTACTCAAACAATTTTTGATATTCTCCTGTGAAAACAAGATTTTCAAATTAACTTGCTGCTGCAATCGGATCTCCACTGTCCTATGTGAAGATCTCACAGAAACTGCTTAGGGTCAGATGATGCCGAATACCTTTGCATTTGGGGAAACTTCATTATGGCTAAAATGCATCAATGTGTACCAAAAAATTGTATTCACTTTCAAATTTTTTAAAGTTACATTTCCATTAGCTTATCAATAGGACATCAGAACATGACCCTAAGTGGTAATTGTCAGATCTTCACATATGAAGTGGAGATCTGATTTTACTCAGATTGACTGCTGCTACGCATACTGGAAGTGAGCTTGGCAACATTTACATGTAGTACAAATTATATATAATTTAAGTGTTTTCATGGAAACTCCTTGCCATAATTATAATCTATTATGTTCAAGTACAGCAAGTTTTTTTTAAAGAAATTTTCACTGCAGCTATATTGGGGGTACAACTGACACAATTTTTATTTAAAAACAATTAGGTATCATAAAAAAATCTCCATGTTGACAGATCTATCAATTTTGAGACTGCAGATATTATTTACATGCGCTGACTTTCCATTCTGCAATATAAAGATTATCAAGATGGCTGCTGTAGTGGCCATATTGGTCATCAGATCAGCACCATTTTCATTTAGGATCAACTAGAAATAATGTCTTTTGGTGTGAAAACCCCACATAGAAGGCATTACCAATTTTTAATCATCAATATACATTTTGTATACTTTTATTTACAATGTACTGAGAATTTTTTAAAAGAACATTTAGCAAACCATGTCCTTTATTATTATAAGGTACAAATTTCACAATGCATACCTGCTATTTGACAATATAAAAAGTGTTTACATCAAGGTTCATTTATCATTTTTGATCACAATGTTATTGAAAGTCAGCAAAAATGGGCCAGGAGGGGGGATATTTTCTATTTTATGGGATTAAAAGCTGCCTGCCTACCAAAGGTTTAGGTGTTCTAGGTGCAAGAAAATCAGGATTCGGTGTACCAGGCTACATCATGCAAAGGAGATGGGAGATAAACACCTGGACACACTGAGGCATCTCACATGGGTTGTCACCCTTTGATTATGAATCTGATGCTGTACAAACTAAGTTCCACTACTAACTTTAACATTTAATTTCATAAGTGATTTACAAGTCTTAATACTCTTTATCACTAAGGCAAGTAATTTCAAAACTTGGAAATGGATAATTGGACCTGGCATTTGTACTTGTATCTAACTTTACCTTTTTACATAAGGACATTACATAATGATATATATAACTTGAAAATGTAAGAAAAATTATGCTAAAACCAATTCAGCATTAAAACTACCAAAATCAATATTAATCTCTCAATCTGCAATCGTTTTAAGCAAGATAATGTTCAAAATATTTCTTACAGAAGTATAAAACAATATATGCTTGATATCGTCCAACTGCAAACACAACTGACCCTGATATGACATCACATATTATGCACCAGATCTGGGTCTATGCATTCTAGACCTGTCTTTGACTTATAAGGGAATATATGAGGTACCTTCTTTAATCAATAAATTTGTTTTCGTAAGATTGATTTGCCCAATGTTTTAAAGAATTGTCTTATTATTTCTTTCTTAATTTATCATTTTCATTTTGTCCAAATCTACCCAAAACCTTACAACCAGTAAGGCCAAAGAAATGTTTCCTATTGCAATTGTTATAAAATTATGATGAGTAGGTAGCTTTTAAAATAAAAGAAACACTTATTAGAATAAATAACAGATATAATGTACAATGTGCTTCAAGCATTGGGATAAATCAGTTCAATTACATGTACATATCAATTTCTGGAATGTTTGGGGAGAAGTTTTTTTACCATGGGTTTTTTTCTGGGGACAGCAAAACAACTGGAAATGCACATTGTTAAGTTTGCCCAGTGTAAATTTCATAGCCCTCTGTAATTTTAAATTTGAGTCATGAACACCATGCTATTAAATTTAAAGGAGCACTACTGTATAATATGAAGAAAAAAAAAAACCTTTCCAAAATGTAAACTGTAGTCCTTTACAAATACAACTATCTGAAGAATAAAGTACTGTGAAATAGGTTTTAAAAAGTGTCAAACATAATTTTTAGTTTATAAAAGCATACAGAAATAAGGTATACAAACAAATTAATGCGGTTGTAGATGCTGATGATCATTCTATGTAAACAATAACACGATGAAAACCCATATCTCAGAAGAGGAAATGTTTTGTGGAAAAATTATATGTACAGATGGGATTAGTTTCATGAAGGAGATGTAAAAAGAATAAATAGCTGAAAGTACAACAGATACAATGGAGCTGCACACTTCCGACCTATGGAAAATGACTTCAAGCTGATACAAGAAAAAGGGCATTTTAAAACAATTAACTACAAATACTCAATAATTATCTAATGTACATGATCTAATTTTTTAACACAGCTTTAATAATTAATCAGTCATATTGCTATAATGTCTGCAGTAATGCCTATCAGTGGGAATCATGCTGCAGACATATAGCATCACGTCCCATTGAGTCACATTATCCAGATATTGTACCAGAACCAACCAGTTCTAGTACTAACCTCTCAACGATGAGTGCCAAGCAAAACAACTGCTAGTGATGGGAATCGGTCAGAATTTCATAATCGATTCCAATTAACCAACTGATAATCAATTATAATTGATTATTAAGAGCAAATTTTACTTTTTGTTTATTACGCAGTTATATCTTTGCTCAAAAATTAAAAATGTTAATAAATATACTGGAGTAATCATTTTTAATAACATTTATTACATTTTCTTCTAATGTTTTTTTGTTCTACAACTTTGTTCAATAAAAGCAGCTTCTTATGGCCGATCAATTTTATGTAACTGAAAAGCTGTTGCAATCCCCAAACCTCATCCCCAAAATCCTTTCATTTATACATATAATGTGTCTATTGTTTAAAGAAACAAAGGACAAGGTTTTCTTGTTTGTCATTATTTACAAATACTACAAAAGGATTTTACATTTAAACTGAAACAAATAATCATATTTTTAAAACAATTTATTATACTACAATTTAACAGCAAAATCATGTAATCATGACTATATGTTCTAAAAAGTTTTTACACCTACAGGGTATGGTATGTTTTATATTTGTAAGTAGCGAGGGGAATAAATAATTTAGTTCAATGGTAGTAGATTGGAAGTCCTATACAGCTTACCATTTGCCGAGGAGTTTTACTAATTTTTGCATTTTGCATGCATCTGAAAAGTGCCTCCCTTTGCACACAATCGGTTATAGAGTTTCAAAATTGAGTATCTTATTGGTTCACTCAACCAACTGATTATCGATTATAATCAATAATCAGAACAACACTAGCAGCTGCAAATATATTTGTACAAGTATTTGGTATAACTTGGCCGGGGATTCAAACCCAAAACTTCATGCATCCAAGGTGGATGCTCTAACCAATGGATCATTATCTAGTTGACAGCATGGTTTTGAATGTTTGCAGCAAAGCTCCATGTCAGAGATAGTATTACATAAATTACTGACAGAGGAAATGACATGCAGTAAATATAATGGATAAAGGACCAATAAAATCAGTGTTTAACATAAAAAAATCAATAATAATAATAATAATAATAATAATAATAATAATAATAATAATAATAATAATATAATAATAATAATTAGCTTAAATGTGCATAAGTTGCTTTTTAGCAATTTTCATTTTCCTAAAGTCTATCTGTAGATACCTCACAACAATTGTTATGACAACATAATAGAAAATTTGTCATCAATGAATGGAATACCATATTGTTAGGTTTGATGGAAAATAATGTTTCTGTTGTTTAAAATGAAAGTACAATTAGTAATGAACATCAAAATAACCATCTTGTCGTTGTATGTAGTTATGTCATTAATTTCACAGATATACAAATTTCTTCTGTGTTTTGTGTGTCATAACATTTAAATAAGTAAAACCATTTACATGACTGATATCCACATCTAACTTTTAAAACAGTGAGGATTATATCATGTCTATTTGTATGTCCCTCCATTATTAGTGAAATTTCCTACACTAGTAAAGTCACAAACTTGTAATTTTGGGATAAGATGCCAGGTGTGTGTGCACGCATGTGTGTGTTGTTGTATGTGTGTGTGTGCACGCTCATGTGTGTTATTTGGATTTTTAACAAAACTTTAACAATTTTTCAGTCATATCGCTAATATGTCTGCAGTGTGACAGATTATAGTAAAGTCTAGCACTGTGGCACCATGCCGCAGACATATAGCATAATGTCCCACACAGTCACATTATCCTGACAACAGGCCAAACAGTCTTAATAATAACCTCTAAATGCTAAGCGCCCTGCGAGGCAGATGTTAGTACCATTTCTATAAGTCTTTGGTTAGACTAAGCCAAGAATCAAACCTGCAACCTCCTGCATCTGAGGCAGATGTTCAAACCACTAGGCCACCAGAATGGTCACAAGATGCCAGGCGGTCTTTAGATACACAGAGTGGTTTTAGAATCTTAAAGGCTTGTAGGTAAAGATCTAAAGTTGGTCTTTATCATCTTCAAGGTAATACTTGATTCTTTCAAAGCATGTTTCATTAATCTCAATAAAATTAACTTCATTTGTTGAAATTTGGTAATGAGTTGCAACCTGCTCAAAATATTTCCTTTTATACTGTTATGACAATAAGTTGTTGGTATATGGGATTGACTTTGTCAATCTAATTGTGTGCATTAATCTGTCTTCAATGCCATACTGAAATTCTTATATGTCTTCACTTACTAACACTAAACTTTCACTAATGGTGAAATTGGGATTAGCATTTGTTTACCATGAAGAGAAACAGATAAGAATGATGTGATAATATGAACTTTCAATCAGCACCACTTTGAGATGACCCCAATGATCTAATTACATGAGAAATATACTTGCTTATCCATTGCTCTAAAACTGCATGTAAAAAGTGATTTTAGTTCTAGTAAAATACAGTAATTTCACATAAACCTATTTCATTCCATGGATGACAGCAGTAGTAGTACTCTTTGATTGTCACATAAACTGATGTGAAGTCATAAACGTCCACTTATGCCATTTGTGCCTTAGATGACTGGTTTGATTTCAATTTTGCGTGTTCACAAGCTGTATATTTTGACAAGGAAAACCCTATGTATGTTGAAGTGCTCCCTTAATATATTAACAAAATTTCAGGCATTCAAAACAAATATAAAAAATTAAAGTAGTATTATATTTCAACATTGTTCAGTGAATATTGTATTTGGTTCATTTAACTTTAAGACATTTTATGCTTATAATTTTTTTTCAGCATATTTTAAAGATAAGATATTGCACCGTTCAACATTGATTTAAATCTTTTGTCAGTACATCCTGGTGCAATGTGACAAGAAATTAGATGCCAGATTTTCAGGTACAGCTTTATCCTTCTTAGGTATGCAAATTATAGTCTCTCATCTCAAAACATTTTAAAAAAGATCTAGTTCCAAATCTGTATTACCTGTTCAAACCAGAAATTCCTGAGTGTCCAAATAAATGTAAAAATATAAATATGCTACAAAAATATCTGATCTTGTGCTATTGTTACATTCCCAACTTTATATAAACAATCTAAAACATTTGGTTCAGTTACTGTACCTTCTATTCTTAAAGACTGCTCTTGCTTATTCCTTGGAGTTGCTCTTGATCTTAAAAAATTTCATCACATCCTCCAAAATCTGTATCTCAATCTCATTTTCTTCATATATATTTTCATAATAATCATTAACTTCCTTCAGAAGATCAAAACTGGGTAGTCATTTTTTTGTTTTCATTTTAAATTGGTTTTGTAATTTATTTATCAAAATCCAATTTTCAATATGCCAAAGCATCTTGTCTTTTTCGACCCCTCATCTACACATTTCATTCTGGTTATAACAATGCTTTCTCAAAGCTTTTCTGTCAACTTTTTTAGACTCTGTCACATTTAGTACAAATTATAAGATCCTGTAAATACATAATTTGTTGTAAGTTTCCCTTATGACTTTGCGGTAAGAAATATGGGGTGGGGAGCAGTTATAGCATGGGCTCTAAAGAAAAAACCCAATAAATTATGTTGTTGTTGTTGTAGGGTTTAACACCATTTTTCAGCACAAGATAGGTTATATATGGCAGCCAGTATAAATGGTGGAGGACAAACCCAGAAATAACCAATAACCCATGAGAAACTACTGGCATGCTTTCTCACATATCCAGATTGGCAAAATCTGAAACTGGAACCAACACAAAGACAAGATGGCAGATCCACTAGGCTTCCTAAAAATGAATTGATTTTGGCAAGTGGCTAAATACATGTAGCTTGATGAATTCACACATACTTTAGATACTCCTACTCAAATATCACCAATAAAATGAAACTTTCACATTTTTTCCCTTTCTTTTATTGGTTCATTTTCATCACAAGTCTGTTTCTTAAAAAATGAAAAAGAGTTTTAACTGATTTTTGCAAGCAAGCATCCTTTTTTGCACTCTTGTAAAAAGTTTCTTCTAGAAGTAATGTTCACAAAATATTTCTAATTAACCATCTGTAAATAGACATTTTAGTTGAAAGAAACACAAGGTCAAGAATTTGTAAACCATGAAAAAAGGGTGGATGGTATATGTGACTCAATGCATTCTATGAATTTATTTTAAAGAATTTCATTAGAGATGTTCATTTTTTTTAATTATGCTTACTCAAATTATGCAAAAAACATTTTTAGTGTAATATAATTTCAACTTGTATAATTTCCCAAGTATATGAGAAAATGTATGGGAGGAAAGGTGCTTGGCAAAAAAAAAATGCTTCCAGATGTAACTGAAACAGAGGAACAATCAATTTATACTCCAAGCTGGTTGCTTACAAAACATTTTTTATAACCATCTATAAATACACAACTTTCAGCTTCAAATAACATACAGTCTATAATTTGCAAAAAAGGGAGCAATCACCAAAATAAAAATGGTGGATGGTGCATTTTTTTTATTCATTCATGGGATTTTATTTATAAAAAGATGACATAATGAAAGGTCATTTTTTAATTTTGCATTAAAATTATGCAGGAAACATTCCATTTTCATATATTTTATAATTTTTACCAAATTAAATCTACTTAACAGTAGTGTCTCAGATTATCGTATATAGTAATTACATCAGTCTACAATAAACTCAACAGCTTCAATGTCATTTCTCATTACCAGATAAAGGCTAAATTGCAAAGTTTTTAAGTAAGTTGCACAATAGGGAAAAAAATCATGTGATTATGTATTCGAAATCGCCCTGGCCCACCCACCACCTATCCCCCAAAAATAGATGTTACAATATGCAAGAAAACATAACAAAATGTCAAAGAAATAAAATGAGCATTATCAGTTGGATTTCTTGTTTACCTATGGTCATGATGACTGTATGTCTTTTCTTTTTTCATTCAGATAACACCAATTTGATCGAAGTTCCTGCAGAGAAAAATAGTTCTCTTAAGTTCAAGGACGAAATTTAGACTGGTATAACATGACGTTTGTAAACGGAATATCCTCGGCCAAATCGGAAAGAGCAGAGAGACTTTCGAATGGTGACAGCAAACTAATCACCCGGTTTCTGACAGCTCTCCGTTCCGTCAAAACTGCGTAAGTAAGAAAACGGAGTTCAACAAGCGGTTTAATTTCCATGTAGGCATAAAATCAGTATTACAATACACCATCGCACCTTTGTAAGCGCTTTTGCTATCTGGAGATTTAGGATATTATCCTCACACCGACCAAATCCTAGGACACGTCTTTACGTTAAGTATGTTAAGGGTAAAATAGCTCAACATACTCGGTCCCATTACCTTGTCAAGAAAGATATAATATGCCCTTTAGTTAGTACCACCACCACCCAAAAAAAAGAAAGATTTCAATAACAAAAACGAAACGTTTAATGTGATAAAAGGTGCACATAACTACGTCAACTGAATCATTAATTTATAATTTTTAACGTGACTGTGACCAGAAAGGCACAATTGCTTTAATCCCCTGCACCTTTCGTGCATAACGGTCTTTCCATACCAACACGGTGCTATATTGTACACTATGGGCAAGTTTATATCCATCAAACAACATAATGACGAAGTTCATCCTATTCGGAAACTGCCGGACAACTCAATAAATGCCATGATGTTGAGATTTTGGCATGATATCCCTTTGCACACATGAACATGGAAATTAAACCGCAGGTTAAATCCACGTAAAAATGCAAATTTATTGTTGTCATTCTTTTCCTTTGCTTGATTCGACATTGGAAGGAGACAACATAGGTAAGGCTGTAATTGTGCTCACACTCCTTTACTAAAAATGAACTTGTCCAAGAACGCAAAATGGCACTCGAACAAGTCGTCTATTACATTGAAAACTTCAGTTAAACATGAAATGCACAGATGATGTCAGTGTTATAGCCAATCTACTGAAAAGTCAGCTAAAAGTTTTAAATCAGTGAATGAATTGACTAAGTTCTTTGCACATTTTATCACATTATAGATTTCTGTTATTGAAATAGGTAGGGGTACAAACAAACAGATTTGTGTTTTCAGACTAATGCATTTTTTTAAGGTAAGCATGGTTTAAAAGACGAATTCAACATAAGCTCAGAGCTTGTTATCGACATTACATAAAACAATAGAGATCATTAAAACAAGCATGATTTGCAAGGTATGCAAATACAGTGCATAACTTGAAACATGAATAAGCAAAGCATTTTAAAAGACATTCATTAAAAGTAAATTTAGTATCTAGATAAAAAAACAACAGAATTTAGGATAACTTCAACTCACAAATAATTATTGGTAAAATTTGCAATTTAAATTAAATGCAGAAGCATCATCAACTTAGAACTTAAAGTATACTTTGATGCAGCTTCTGCCTTACTTAAAAAGAAAGGCGATAACAGTAGAGCACTTGATAGAAATCATAAGACAAGGACAGATTAAAAAAAAAAAAAAAAAAAACGCTTACACTAACAGTAGTATGAAAGTGGGAGTATTACCACACTGGCCCACTTAGCGGCCTTTCCACCCGTCTCGTCTCTACCTATCATAACAATTTAACCCATACGTGGCGATGTCTGTTGTTCACATTAAATTTGGACCCTACGCACGCAATCACCCACGTGATTCAGTCATGTTCAGTTGAGTCTGGTCAGGACGGAAATGTCCGCTAAAAAGGCCAGTTGGGACAAACATCGGCATTTAATACCACTTACTTTCGTCTACAGTGATTGTAGAAACGTGACAAACATCCTTTTGAGGGATGTTCACGAACAGGCAGGTATATGGTAGCGATAAATATACGCACGCTGCATGTATATTGTTTTATTTTATTTGACTTTTTTCTTTCTTGTTTGTGCTCGTAAATGCCTGTGATTTTCCATTTCCATCTGCACAATCTTAAACTCAGCCGCACTA